TAATTAACTAAAAAGACATTGAAGGCAGCAGTTTTTATCTATAACAGAATGTGTACAGTTCTGTGGAAGTGAAATAAGGCAAGGAAAGGCAAGGCACGTTTATTTATATAGCACCTTTGAACACAAGGCAATTCAAAGTGCTTTACAAAAATGAAAGACATTAAGAGCATTAAGAAATAGCGCAGCGGAAACATGTTATAAAATGGCATTTAAAAACAGGATTTAAAAGCAAAGATAATTTTTAAAAAAACGAGTAACACAGGTACATGAAGGGAGTAACAGTGCAGTTTAAGGTATTAATAGTTCAATTAAAAGCAATGGCAAAAATAAAAGTCTTCCGCTTGGATTTAAAAGTAGTAAGAGTTGCAGCGGACCTGCAGGTTTCTGGGAGTTTGTTCCAGATTTTTGGAGCATAATAACTGAACGTAGTTGCAACCATCTTTGCAGTAACCGTGAACTTAATGTGTTGATAGCTTCATGCCCTTACACCTGCATTAAGGGGGATCATTTTCACGTTTCATATAATTGTGTTTTATGCTTCTATGACATGTTTTTTCTCATACTGCCTGTGCTGCAGCATCCTCTTTTCACCCTCTGTCTGAAACCAGAGCCCAGTCTGCTCTGATTGGTTAGCTGGCCGGCTCTGTTATGGTTGGTCAACTTTGATGCAGCACTACAGATTGTTAACACAACATTGACATATTTCCTATTTACACATCCAGCGGACACAGCAAAGATTTGAATTTAAGTCCGATATATTTTGGCTCAGTTCTGCTCTCCTCTTGAAGGAAATATTTAGCTCTTAGCCTGCTTAATATTTTGCTTCCTTCACCAGTAAGTGGCTATTTATATTTTGTATACTTGAGTGCATTGCAGATAGTAAGTTTATCAGAGTTGTTCAGCTGTACAGCTGCCTGCTTTGTCTGAAAATTATGATGAAATGCCCTAAAAGTTTAGGTTCAGAGTTCATTCCTGACCTTGGAAACAGCAGTTTACAAAACAATCTCGCCCCAAGGTCCATTTAGCAGCTTTTTTTGGATTCTCATCTGCTGAATGACTGTGTTATGCATAGAAGCTCCACAAAAAAACTGCTTAATGGACCTTGGGGTGAGATTATATTTTAGAGAGCCTGCAGTTATGTTCAATTTTTGTTGGGGCTGGATTAAAAATATGACTCTTTGGTGTATTTTTGGCTAGATCTATTGCTTTGTTTTACAGTGTGAGATGTGAACACTCCCTCCACATACATATGAAGTAGTCGATGCAGTAGAACAGTAAATTACCACACTTCATTATCTACCTGTTACTTGTATTCGTTGATCGTAAATATACTCCATAAAGTTCAGTGATAAAATCAGTGAATCCTATGTGATGCCAAGTTGATTTAGTGCCAAGTACTACACAAACAATCTTTCTTTTGTGTCTGTTTTTGTAGCTGTCATAACACGTTGCACCTTGGTGCTCAGCGCTGATCTTGAAATCAATGGAGAGGAGGGAAAGTGGTTCCCTGGCAACTTTAAGGAACAGCTTGTCACATTGTCATGTGAAGGATGGCCGAGGGCCATCTCAACAGTCTTGAGCTGTGTGACTGTGAATTATTTATCGCAGAGAGAGACTATGGCATTCCTACACCCTACAAGAACAAGAGAGAATGATGTCTCTCTCAGTGTTTTTCCTCATAGGTGGGATCGGTTTTAATATTTTATTCCTGTGTTTACAAGTTCACACAATGCAGTGATTTTCAGTTTAAGGGCAATAGGCAGTTTGAGCAATACAAAAAAGCTGCTTAGGCATCACAAATATTGGCTTATTTGTTTAATTATATATTATTACTTTATACAGTTCATTTAACTGTGCTGTATTACATTTAACATTGTGGTTTATCTTACTCAATATTCTTTATATGTATATGCTTTTCTTATCTCTGCAATTTGCAACGTTTTGTCTTGTGCACTTTTTTATTGCACTATTTTATTTCTTTATTTTATTGTATGTTGTATTAATGGGGAAGCCTGGGACGGCCAAACCTAAGCTATAGCTATTTTTCACATGACAATAAAGCCTTTTATACTTCAAATATAGAAACTCATTTCTAACTCTAAATGTTTTTAAGTTTTTTTATTTAATAACAACAATGTTTTACATAAATGTGAGTAGTCCTTCAATGCAGCTGATTGCTTCCATAATTAAAATAATTAAATTAAAACAGTTTTCTATTGTTTTGTTTTTGTTCAAATGGGGTTTCTGCCCCTAGTTAGTCCAGAATGTATTTTAGGATTGCTTATGCTGCACAAACACCGCCAACTCCATTGATGAAGATAGACAGGCTGTGCGATCGATAGACATGAAGAATGAAGAGAGACTGAGTGCAAGCCTCAGAACTGTGGAGCACAATGGAGATCCCGACTCCCCAAGGTCATCACCAGCACCCACCGCTGCTGCTGCTGCTGCTGTTGCTCTTCTCTCTATGAGCTCAGCACAATATGTTGGTTACCACAGCAACTCTGACTATAAACCTCCCCTAGTCAGTCACCACGTTAGCAACACGTACACGCAGATGGCAACGAACACACAAATACTGTATCTCGGAACATCACCATGTGGGTATGCCCATCATTCCCTCTCACAAAAGTGTGCATGCTCAGGCGCACGCTACAAAACAATCACCAGCAATCGCATCGCTGTTGTCTTGATGTATATCTGCCAAATGCTTTCAGCCTCTTTTTCTGATTGTCAAACTTGTCTCGTAAAAAATGTGTCATTGTAAGCAGTAAACGGGTAAAACCAAGGAAAGAAATTGCCTTAACAAACTGCGTGGTTTTTGATTTGTTTGGGTGTTGCAGGGTCTCATGGGAAAACACTGTGCATAGAAAAGTCTCAGAGACCGTTTTCTTCTGCAGGTTTTTCCCATTCCTATCATCAGATGTGTTGTGCAGGTTGTGCTTTGATATTATTAGATTCCCCCTGCCTTATATTTTCAAAAAAGTAATGATAAACAGTGATCTGATTACGGCGACTCAAGGACTGAGAGGGATTCAGGGGCATTTTATTGATGTTTGTATCCTGCTCTGCAGTCACTGCACATTGGCAGGCACAGCACTCACTGTTTTTGATTCACTTCTGCACTTGTGCACTTGAAAGGTCACTTTTATATTGGGTTCAGAATGCTTTTTATTACATTTCTCCACTTTGTGTCTTAAAAGATCCAATATATTCGCGCCCTGGGAGGCAATCCATTGTGATTCACTCTCCATTTTTTTCCCCGCACACTTCACTGAGCAGGATTTACATTATGCTAACTTTTCTTTTGTGAGACATGGCTGCAATTTCTCAACTCTATGCATCTGGTGTTTGTGACGTTTGAGTCATTTTTCCATGACGTGTTTATATCTGACTCATATGTCACTCCTTTAATGAACTGATGTGTTCCCAAGGACCTCATAATGCATTCACGAGAAATATAAGAAACATTCTTCAGGCAGTCCCAGCTGAAGAAAAGCCTTTTGTGCAAGCTATCTGTGTTTAGATCAAGTTATTTGTACCACTACCTCGCAATGATGCCTTATCTCTAGTGAGTACAATTGTTAGACGTAGAGTGGCGGACAAATATAGGGAGACTTATATTAGTTATTACTTTCCTGCTCATATTGTACTCAACAAACCCCACCCCCACTTCCTTTGACCATTTCCTCATATGAATGTCAAAACGTTGAATTGTGAGCGAGGATGCTTTGATACAGGGCTCACAATCATGTGGCTTGACAACAAAGTAGGCAGACATTTTATTTTGGATCCTGGCCATGGCTTTCAATTTCCTAATGTCTATGATTTGATTACCATCCATTAGTTCACTGGCATTGTGTCTTTGCCTATAGATCAACGTTTTCTGCTGGGCTCTAGTAGCTCTACAGCACTACTGTACAGCTCATTCCTGATCCAATAATAAGACGAACACACTTCAGGCATGTAATCCAAGGGCATCAATAGTTCAGGTTTCATGAGACGGCAGCATGTTCACTGAACACTTAAGTTGCATCTGCAGTTTCGAGTCGCACTGTGGCGATAAAGAGAGACTGGAACTGGTTGGGCTCACTTGATCTGGTGATGCTTTGAATTCAGTTGTGAGAGAAAATTATGACACTTGGTATTTTATAAGAGCTTTAAAATGTAGTCAATTCAAAGGACAAATTCCCCAAACTCAATAGTTCTAGCTTTTTTTAAAGGGAATATTTTATGGTTATATTAGTTTTCAATTGCTAAATATTTTTGCATTCAAACGAGACACTTAAATGTCTAAATGTTCTGCTTTTTTGACATGTATAGGACCCAAACCTAGATTTGATGATAAATAGGACAAAAACAAAATGATAAATCTTCTGACAACTACTTTGATTTATTGATCAACCCTTTTTCATATCCCAGAGCCCATGGGGACATTTTCAAATTACTTGTTTTGTCCTCTGATAGTCAAAAAACCCATAATATTCACTTACATGCAAGCAGCTGGAACCAGTGAATGTGTGTTGTCTGTGCTTCTTGCTGTTTAATAACCTGCACACTGACTGAAATAGACTTTAGAGCTCTAATGATAATTAAAAAATCCTATCCAGAATTCCTGAAATCATTACCTTCTCTTAAATATTTAAATCTCTTTTATCTGAAGTATCTTTTTGCAAAGTTTGATTTGATGCCAGGAGCCATTGTTGGTTTGTTTGAGGGAGTCCCTCTCTGAACAAAGTAAAACATTTTTGTTTTCATGTCATATCCACTTTATCATGCAGCACTGTGAGGAGTGAGGGCTCAGTGTGTCAACACTAAGACCTCTGAGGTCTGCAGCAGACAGCCTAACAAGAAAGGCTTCCTGTAGGAGCTTTCCTGCTGCTTTTAAAACAATCCCCTTCTCTGCGCTACCTTTATCTCCACAGGTTTTTGTTTCCTTATCATTTTGTTGTGACCATGTATCACCTAAACCCCTGCATTTGTCTCTTTGTGTATTTCAGATATTCACACGCTATGGGAAGTGCTACACTTTTAATTCAGGCCAAGATGGACGACCTCTCATGGTGACGATGAAGGGTGGGATGGGAAACGGCCTGGAACTGATGTTGGATATCCAGCAGGATGAATACTTGCCTGTATGGGGAGAGACTGGTAAGTTTACCTGCAGGATACATTATATCAAACATCCTCTTCCCAGTAGGAAAAACCTCAGCCTAAACCACAGGATTGGTGTTTATGTTTGCCCTTAAGCGAAAACTTAAAAAGAGATTCTCTTTTTTTATCAATTAAACACCGGAGTAGCTTTCAGCGCTGTTAGAAAAATGTCAGGGGAAAGACTCTATCACAGGGATTCCCGCCTAATCTGTAAGATAGAGGCTTGACTAGGTGTTATTGATGTTTCTGTGAAACCCTAACTCCATTTAGTTTAGTGGAAGTGCATACTTCAGACCTGGACTATGAAATATTCTTTACACTTTTATTGAACTTGATTGATGATCCCTGTAAAATACACGCTCTGATCATTTAAAAAGCACCCACTGTGTTTGTGGGATGTTATCAACTAATCTGTATAAGGACAGATGGATATTGATCTGAGAATTGTTTTCATTGTAATATAATTGTATCACTTGTCAGTTAGACTCAAAGTCCACATGAATCAAACAAGAGCAGCACAATCTGCCAGATTTAAAATCAATGGAGGGTACAGGCTCTTCCATTCTGGGCCGAGCCCTCATCAAGGCGGTTGAGTCTCCTCCTGAAACTTAGATTTTTAATGCAGTTGCATATGCTGCTGTGTGTTGGCATCAATATTTGACATGCAGTGGGCGATGAATGTAAAAAGACAGTTCAGTATGGTCACGGAAACTCTGAACATGATCATTAAACATGAAGCCGAAAGCTATGACTACAATGTTCAAACATAAGGCTGCATGTATGCCAGAGCTAAATGATTTAAAGATATTAATATATAATGCTCTTTATGCAAGATCATTAAATAATGAAAGACTCGTATGTGTTTGAAAGATAATGATGCAGTAACTACAGGCATATTTTATTCTGTTTTCATAACTTTATGATTATTTATGGCTTCATTTGCATGAGGGTTGTTTGCAGGTTTTGTCATTAATGCCAAAATGGTGCAGAATGACCATTGATTAGTCGTATTAGACAGCATTTAGCACCTGTTTGTTTAATCTGGCTGTATGCCGTGCATTGCATAATGTTCCATTTCTAACACCTGGGGCCTCATTTTTCAAAGCATGCAAGCTCTGAATGTGCACTTTGAATCCACGCCTGAACATGTGTACTTATTAAACATGTACACGCACAACTTCATACAATTACTTACATTGTAATCATGTGGATAAAACCGTCTAACAAGTAACATGTAATGTCTAACAAGTAACACGTAATGTCTAACAAGTAACATGTAATGTAAAAGCTCAGCATACTTTATTGACATACAGAATGCCAAATATGGTCAACACTTCCCTCTCAAAATCTGAGAGTTTTTTTATTGTGGAGAATAGTCTTATTTGATGTACTGTACTGTACTATTGTAAGTGCTTCTGACAATTGATGACAAATGCCTAACTTTTTGTTTAAGTCTTTGCCATCCAACATTTTGGGCACACAAAGATGTTGTTTCTGCTGTTGGTCTAAATAATGTACAATCTTCATTAACATCTCCTAAGTACGCTAAACAAAACTGTTTTTTTTTTTTTTACACTTCCATAAGACGCTTATCGAAATGTTGGGACAGGCAATGGAAGTTGGGAGAGCCTGTACCCTCCATTGATTTTAAATCTGGCAGATTGTGCTGCTCTTGTTTGATTCATGTGGACTTTGAGTCTAACTGACAAGTGATACAATTATATTACAATGAAATCAATTCTCAGATCAATATCCATCTGTCCTTATACAGATTAGTCGATAACATCCCACAGTGGGTGCTTTTTAAATGATCAGAGCGTGTATATTCCAGGGATCATCAATCAAGTTCAATAAAAGTGTAAAGAATATTTCATGACAGATGAGTAACCTTTGGTCGGATAAAGTTGCAGTATGCAAAATAGAAATTGGATACAACACCTCTTTAATGTATTTTATATAATACAAAGTTGCCCCGAATTCCCTTTAAACTGACTCATTAACACAAAGTATATCTGGCTCAGTTAAAACAATTAACATCCAAAACATAACTGAATTATAACAGATTTTTCTTTAAATAAATATTGTCAACAAATCATTGTGATCTCTTTAATGACTCCACAGGTGCTCAGTGATGCATTCATGGAGAAACCCTTGAAAATGGAGGCAGAATTTAACTTACCTTGTTTAACCTATACGGCTACAATCTATCCATTTATACATCATTGAGTTTGGTTTGTTCATTTTGTGATTAGGAGCGGTGTTATATGTATTGCTCTTAAGCACCTTGAATATGCATGGCAGATAACCCAATTGGCCTGAGGTCTAAAAAGTATCCACCCATGATGTCTTTATACACACTCATATTATTCGGCGTCTCATAGGGATATTCCAGCATGCATTGTGCTAGAGCAGGGGTGCCCACACTTTTTGGGCTGGTGAGCTACTTTTGAAATGACCAGCTCACCGAGGTCTACCAACCAAAAATAAAATCCCAAATTGCAAGGGTTGCTGAATAACACGTTTATTTATACATGGGATAATAGGGCTGCAACAAACGACTAATTTGATAATCGATTAATCTATCGATTAATGAAACGACTAATCGACTATTCAGACTATTACTGTATGCCTTGCACAATTTCTCAAACCCTCTTGTTTAGCCATCAACTTTTAGATTTAGCTTGAGGTTGTTTTAGGCATGTGGAAACTAACAATGAAGACAATAAAGATGAATACTTGATTCAAAAATACATATATTATTAAATTAACAAATTGTGAACAAAACTAACATTGCTTTTTATTTAAATTAAATAAATAATATTTCACATCAAAAGAAACAACAATGTTTTAACAAATCGTATTAAATAATCTGATGACAGAACTGTGAACAGAATAGCTGAAACTTTAACAAAATAAAGAGTAACTCAGTTTCCTATAATCATTAACCCATGTTTGAATCATTGAGTTAACTGCGTGTGTTGCTGCTAGCATACATAACACCTGACGTGGAAACGTTACTCGTGGATGGGGCTGCAGAGCTGCTAGAAAGACAGTGGAACCCGGTGCATTCCTCCGTCTGAATGTGGTGCACTTTTGCTAAATGTTTAGACACATTGCTCGTGTTCCCGCCCTCACATGCTGAACTCTCTTGGCAAGGAGCATTGTCCACCTCAAGACGGGTAACATTTAACCACACCTTGGAGCGCTTCTCTCCGCCATCTCCTCCGTGTGTTGCTGCTTGTAGCAGCCGCGTGTGTGTAAACTGCCCCGCCCCCTCGCGCACAGACGGGGGAGAGAGATCTCGTCTCGATTGGAAAGATCGAAAATACACCGACATTTGTTTGTCTTTTTGCATGTTAGAAACGAGTTGGCGACACTAAGACTGAGATAATGTTTGTGTAGCAATAATAATACATGACCTTTCTCTTTCTCAACTCGCTACTCGGAGGGAAGTCGCTGTCATATGCCTTGTGAACACTCCGATAATGCCTCTCCACGTTACCTTTCTTTGGCAGAGCGACGCTTGCTTTACAAATAAGGCAAATAACCTTTGAATGTGACATCACAAACAAATATTCTTCCTCCCATTCTGGGTGGAAGTGGTATGTCTTTAGCTTCTTGCTCGGTCCCGCACTCATTTTGTTGTTTGTCTCTTGTTTGTCTCTTTAACTTAATTTGAGTTTTCCCGGCACTTGACTGATTTTGTATCGCTTTGCATTCTGGGTTAACAGACTGGAAAGCGATAGGTCGCTTTTTCTGTCAATCAAGTAAACTCCTGAATTAAGTGGCAGGGAGGAGGGATCAAAACCTGTTTTGTCTATTTTAACGGAACAGGATTTTTTTTTTATGAATGACTCGCGATCTACCAGCATTGCCCCCGCGGTCGACCGGTCGCCCGCGGTCGACGTACTGGGCACCTCTGTGCTAGAGTGTGTTTTGTATCCCACAAAAGGTTGTGAGTCTATGAGAGTTGGTCCAACACATGTAGAACTCACTTTCACACATACAGGCAATTTAGAGTTGTTCCTTCACATGTCCTGTTTGACTGTGGGTAAAAAGGAGCAATCAGAGGAAACTTTAGCAGGCATGGGAGAACATTCAAACTCGTCACATAAACATCACAGATGGGAGCATCTTTTCAACCCCCTCATGCTGTGATGCAACCGTAGCAACCACAGAGGCCCTGTCCTGATCAAAACGTTCCAGGAGAGCTCACCATGTTGAGATTAAAAAGAGGAATGCAAAGAAATGTGAGTGGGCAGGTAGGCTGATGATGTACAGTACTTTGCTTAAAATATATAATTAGTTTTCCTGCGGCGTTTAACTGATGAGCTTTTGACTTTGTTGTTAAAACCATAGCAACAGCACGTCCCCGGGTTCTAACTAACTATAAAACACTTTCTGTGTACTTGTCAGCATAGGCAGTGACAAACTTGTACAGCGTCAACTATGATCAAGTTTCTATTTCAATCTTAGGCCCAGCCTGCATATAATCGTTCCCAGCGTGCAAGACTGACAGATGGCCATGACTTAAAGACGACATGCGCTTTTTGTAGGCAGGAGCTTGGGCACCACTTATGTTTTTTTTGCTGCTCCAAGCCTCAATCGTTAGTCTTGGCCGGCAGTAGAAGACGAAGATGGTTTTGCACCGGGTCTCAGAAGAGCAATGTGAAACAGTTAAAGTCTGTCGCTCTTTGTCGAAGCTCGTCGTCTGCTGAATTACAGCCGCATCCCCGAGCTCTTTAATTGAAAATGGTGAGAAAGCCCTAGCACTTAGAGGACGAGGGTGAGTGACAAGCGCGGGAGGAAAGACGGCAGGAAACAGACATCCTACTTTATCCCTGAGCCAACACTCAAAGGAAATACATCTGTTCAATCCGGCCTGCCGACACCATGATAAGCAGTTCCAGGTCTTTGCAAATGTGATAGAAGTGGGTTTGCACAAGTATAGGCTCACCATGTCATTGTGATGTTCCCCTTATCTCAGTATCAAAGAGGCACATCTGCTTCATTTAAAATCTATACAGCAGAGTGCCGGAGCAAAGGGGGCTGTCGGCTGTATTGATTTTCCTTTTATCCTCATCATCATTTATTTATTAATGTATCCATTCACTTGCGTGTTTCAGCCTGCAGTAAATAAAACTCCTGTGGGGGACGTTTTGTTATCAACCGCTCCACTTAGGAGGTCCATCTTCTTTGTCCTTTCATTCCTCATTGCAGCTATTGTTAACTTTGGAAGTCCACAGATGTAACTAATGAATAAGCAACTCTCTTGGATTGCTTCTTTCTAGCTGAAATCCGACTACAAGTTAGCGATGTCTTATCATTTCTCCTGTGTTATCTTTATTGTTTTTTTGGTTTGATTCCTCGCTTGTTTTTCACTAACCGGCTGAAGCATATTCCCCCGTTGCAAAGCTTTTCTCTGTGTGATTAGTAGCAACTGCTCCTGGGTGGATCACACAGGCCAATGTGTGCATACAAATCACCGTCCCTGTTGTAAATGTCCTCACCTCTTCTTGTCAACAGACGAGACGTCGTTTGAAGCAGGGATCAAGGTTCAGATCCACACACAGGACGAGCCTCCGTTTATAGACCAGCTGGGCTTCGGAGTGGCGCCAGGCTTTCAGACGTTTGTGTCCTGCCAGGAACAACGGGTATGTGCTTCAAGCTAACTTAAATGAAAATCTGATAACACAAGCATGTCTCAACACATTTCATCAGAGAGAATCTGTTTAGTATTATTTCATTTCATTTTGAGCACTTCAAAGAGATATTGTGCTTGCAAATCAGATAAACGTTTGCACAGTATAAAAGGAGCTTCTCCAGCTTTAATAAAAATGACCTTTATTTATATAGCCTTTTATTCAAACAATGTGTGCAAGTGCTAACAAGTACCTAATGAATACCCACATACACACAAAGGCATACATTAATTATAGCAACAAGTATTGCTTAATACCATGTAGCGCTTAGCTTCAACCTTGCAATTTGTGGTTATGTGAGTCAACCAAAAGTCAATTAATTTGTATTGGGACTTCTGTTGTCTCAACTGCTTTTTTGTATTTGTTCAAGAAGGGACAATGCACACTAATTAACATGAGCACTTGAGTCCATCATGTAAATGTGCCAGATTTAGCCCTAAAGGCTCAGATTCTCATCTGCAGTCCCTGACAGGTTGATTGCATTAAAAGAGAATATACAAGAGCACATACTGTAAGCACAGACAGAAGCACATGCTCTCCTTATGTTTTTTATTTCGGCCTCTAAGACCAATGACCAATGTAGGACACTGTTTGCCAGCGCAAATTAGCACACAAGCTATTTCATTAGATTCAGTTGCTGCTTGTCAATATTAATAGACAAATGAGCAATTGTATAAATAACAAGGGAGTACTGAAGCTAGTTTAGAACATTGGGAATTCAATTTATGGTTATTATATGCTAAATCAAAAGTAAATAAAAGTTTACATCTACATTTATATACTTGCACATCGGTAGTGCTCCATTACTAGAACTACAAGGCAGGAAATGCTCACAAAAATATACTTTTCTTCTATTTCTGTGATGTTTTTTTACATCCATTGGTTAATAATGCCCCTACAGTGAACACTGTTGGTCGTACTGTGTGGAAACAAGGCATACTGTATGAGTTTAAGTGAAATGCCATAGAGAGTGAAATTAGTCGTTTTTGGTATCGACTTGAAGAAGGTCACCGAGGAAGCAAGACCAATTTGACTAGCTATTCTTAAAGAACAAAACATTCTAATCTCACATTGTAGGTATGTGTAAGTCAGTGTGGCTAATACTAATAAAAACTATTGTTCGTGTTTTATTTCTGGTTCATTGTCACATAAGCCTGCCTAGCGATGCTGGAGGTTAAGAAGACCTCATGTTGTCACGCAGCACATCACCAAACACTTAGTATCTGACATTTCTGTCAGTATTCCAATAAGTAAATACATATTTCAATGTCAAATTCATTCTTTCTTCTGAGAGCTTCAAATGCGATTGTTTTTCTGTCGCAATCTGTTGGATGCTTAGAATCTGACGAGAAAATTGTCATGGAGATACCTTGTCCAGGGTGAACAAGCATCTAATAATCAGTGACGTATCCTGGGATCATGGTGGGTGTTTCAGGCTTTTCAACTGCAGACATCCTGCACGGCCCAGGTGACCCTGCCACAGCTGATCAAGCCCTGGCCTGAGTCCCATTACCCCCCCACACTCTCCTGCTCGACCCCCTTTATACTCAACCATCTGGGGGATCTTTGTGCTGCCTCGGAGGCTGATGGCTCTGCCCTTGTCTGCCCCCGTCACTCCTCTTACTGAGAGCTTTACTCCAACATCCGCAGGCCACTCAGTATCAACATAATTCGTAATGTAACAGTGAGCACAAACTGTGCAGTTAGCAAGCTTATCAGAGACCCTCTCAGGTTGTTCAAATGTCAAGGCAAATGGGATGCATTGAGTGATATTTAAACTCCACTAAGAGACATTTATGTGAATTTTAAATAAATGACTGAATTTGAAAATGTAGCTTGTGCTGAAGCCACTGAGATTTCTCACCCATCTATCTTCTCTTCACAGAACCTTCTGGTCCATACAAAGACTGCATGGTTCATTTTCTTCCTTTCTCCATTATAAACGTTTCCGAACATTTACTGGATAATTAAACTGATCATGTAGGTTAATGGAGAATGAAAACTTGTAATTAACTTGAGAAACCATTTTATGCTACTTTATAACTCTTTTTCACTTCATTTCAGAGGCAAACATTGTACATTCTTCTCTGCTACAGATTTAGTTGATAGTTAATTTCAGATCATCATTTTTTATTTAGAAACAAACATGGTGAGCAGCAGGCCATGGATGGTTTTGTAGATAAGCATGAATCAATGAATATTATGACTCGTTTGACAGATGGCCGGTTGTCAGAGCAATACATATTGCACCGGTGGGTTTCAAAAGGAGCATTTGCTGCAAACCAGATAACAGACTGGTGGAGAACATCAAGCTTCTGGAGTGCGCCCATTCATGCCAACCTATTTAAAATGTCACCATAACTCAACGTAGGGAGGATGGTCGTTTCAGATTCCCTTCAATAGTTTAACCCTATGGTATTACCTCTCTAATAGTCTCAGCTGGGTTCATTTCAAAAACTGTTTGAGATACAAGTAGTTGAAATAATGTAAATACATATAAAAAGTAAAGATTACAGAAAAGTCTAATTTAGCCTTTAGTCTTCTTTGTGACCCTTCTGAGGTGGCCAAAGGATTGCTCACCATTGGACTTGTTGGACTAAGCGCTCTCTGCTGTGTCAATCCCCAAAGACCTTTCCATTTCATTCCCTAATGTTTAGCTGAAATAGTGTCTTACAAACCGGAGATGGTCTTGCGATGGGACCAGCCGCAACACCAAATCTGGCCAGAAGCATAAGACAGACAGAAATATAAACACCCGGCAAATCTTTCAAAACAGCTTTTTTGGTAGTTACCGCTACAGTATGTGTCTCTAGAAGCACATTAACATCCATATTTTATACAGTCTATGGTGACAAACAACTGCATTTCAGCAGCAACATTATAAAGCAACTTACACATTATTGCATTACTATTAACATTCTAATAGTGTCTTATATAATAATAATCAGTCACCTTTTTCTGCAGAACGATACTTTTATTTTCGAAAACTATAATTACATTTTGGTTGATAACACTGCTTTTCTATTTTTTGAATGCAGGACTTTTAATTTCAAGAGAGTCATCTTACTTTAACTAAAGAAAATGATGTGATTTCTTCTACCACAACTAAACAAAAAAATGTTTCCTTAATCTGAATACTTGCAATCATGAGGGATTGAGCCCAGAAGATAAATATATTTATCACTGTTCCTGTGCAAGGCTTTTGTTGGACCCATGGGAGTTGAAATGAGGCGTCCCACATCGTAAGCAATCCCAGCACTACGCTGTGATTTTGAAGGACAAACGATTTTCTGCTTTCTCAGAATCGAGGTTGAAATATAATTATGGCCGGTCAGTCAAGTGTTTCACATAAAAGGCAAAAAGTGTGCCTCAGACCCATCAATACTGCGGCTGTTGTAAGGACAGTTAGTTTCTAGGTTGGAACGGCTGTTTTGTAAACTGCTGGACATTTTGCAACTTAAGGGACTGTACATGTTTGTTGGTGCCTTGGAGGCTCTTGAGTAGTTCTGAAAGTTACATATTTGGGGTCTCAACATGGTCAAGGATACACAGACTTTCTCCAGTCAACATGTGTAAGTCTGAGTTTGGCTCTGTGAAACAAAGTGTATGTGGGTTCTTCGCTTGAACTGTGAATAATTCTGTGGCTGTGACTGCGAGGATTCAGCCTTACAAATCATACACTCTTGCCCCTAATATGCTACAGAACCATGCATAATGAATGGAGGATGGATAGGGATGGATTTGGTAGTGATCTCAGTCATTCCACGTCCACACTACTAGTGAGTGTGTTCCAGTGATGGTGGGATGCAGCAGGATTTTGCATGCTGCCAATGTCGCGTCTGCAGGAAACTGTCCCTCTTTGTTTTTCTCTCTTTCTCACTAGCTCCTTGACTTATTTCCTCTCCAAAAGTCATTACAATTCCTATAATACAGTCCCCTCCTTTCAATATTATTCCCTAACCTCTCTCTCTCTCTCTCTCTCTCTCTCTCTCTCTCTCTCTCTCTCTCTCTCTCTCTCTCTCTCTCTCTCTCTCTCTCTCTGGATTTATTTATTTCATTGGCTGGCAGGCTCACTCTTCATTAATCTAATGCAGTTTTCTCAAATTCATTCAACTGCCTGCTTCAGCAGTCCTGTAGTGTAAAACTGTCGGGGGCTTTTCAGCTTGCCCAACTGTCACTCACCATGATCCCACAAAAGAAAGACATCTGCAATTTCTCCCTGTTTAACATAAAATGCAAAAATAACTAAATGTTTCTTCTACATCATCTTGTCTTTTTGTTTGCAGAGGGTTGCTGGCTCTTGCTTTTCCTCTTTCTTCTTCCTGTTCCATTTGGTTTGCGGTCTCTCACTCCGTAACGAAGGTGGAATTGAAGTCACAATCTTTAAAATGATTTTCGTTCCTAGAGTTGTTTAACAGGACACTAACATATCCTGAAATCTCAAACACCAGTTTGGCTTTTGTCCAAACTTGCAGAAGTCTAACCAATTGGAAGTCATTCTACCAAGAGGTGGATTAGGAGGGCTGAGTCGAGCTTTTAAAGATGCAACCAAATCTAAAAGTCAGAACTGTGAGCATAAGAAATCACCCAGCCACATAGCTCCTCCCATAGGTCTAGGCCATATGTGATGAGATGAATAAATACACAAGCACTTCTTATTGATTACCATATTTTACCCGGCTCTTATGGTTTTTATGTTCTGTCTGACTTTGTGAAGCGTCCTTGATGTAAAAATATGCAGAGCAATGATTATAGTCTCCTGATTGGATTTTAGTCAGAGCTTCAGGTTGTGTGTGGTAGTGTGTGTGTGTGTGTGTGTGTGTGTGTGTGTGTGTGTGTGTGTGTGTGTGTGTGTGTGTGTGTGTGTGGTGTGTGTGTGTGTGTGTGTGTGTGTGTGTGTGTGTGTGTGTGTGTGTGTGTGTGTGTGTGTGTGTGTGTGTGTGTGTGTGTGTGTACACTGTATGTGCATGTTGAACATTGCCCTGGGTTATTAGTAACCAGATCCAGAGTGCGACACACCTGGTTGCCTCTTGCACTCAAGTACAAATCTTAAAAAGCTTCGTCCCTAAATCATAACATTGGCCATTCATTTATTGCTGTGTGAGCAATCAGTGATGCACTGATGAGAAGGAAACACACTTTGTATAGCTTGCTCCCTTAATGCATATTAATGCATCAAAGTTTGTCCTTTCTTTAAAGCAGCTTTATTTAAATTAATATTCCTCATATTTACATATGATATGTATGTTTCAAAGAGCACTCTGTTTAAGTGACTTCACTTTACTTTCTCTACATGAATAATCTGGTGCAACCTCAAGTATACAGTAAGCAACAATCATTGGGGCTTATTTTGAAATAGTGGGTCTTTGTTTAAATTTGTCCTACTTTATAAGTCCCATTTTTTGTTGTTGTTCATACTTTATACAGTAATTGGTCCTGACCAATTGTCCGCATGCGACGAATAGGGAATGTGAAGAGGTTGGCTCATACAGTATGTGCAGTTCAATGCAAGGTTGCATACTTTTAAGAATGTGCTTAAAGAAGCTGAGCAATGCCGAGTAAGAATACAAAAGTAAAATAAATGTAAACAATTGTTTATTAGAAAACAAACAAAAAGGGTAAAAATGAAAAGATCTGTTATTAATATTTGTTTGTATGATTTTGCTGTGTATATAGCAATTTCAGTACACGTTACTGTGCATGGCACTTACAAGGTTTCACAGAATACAATGTGGTAAACAAGGTCAAAAGCTCACTGTCACTTTGTGTGACTGACGGATATGTCTGCTGTCCACATAAATTGTACATTTGTGGATCAAAACAAAGGAGACATGGCTCCACAGGTCCTGCGGCGAAGCTGTTAAGAGTGTAAACTTCACAGCTCTAATACTCTGATGATACAATTCAGATCCTGCATGGAGAGTGGGCTGTACAAATAAAGCACAGAGGCACACCGGGAATAGAAGAAACGTAGGAGAGAACCGCCCACCATAAGCCACTATACACATGTATCCACCGTGGAGTAAAAGCAATCCTTTTCAGAGCCTAATACAACAAAACTGCGTATTGGCTTGTAAATATAGGTATTGAGGGAAAGAAAAGGGTCAAATAACTGCATTAACAGGGCACAGGAGATGTTCTTGAACAGACAATAAGCTCTATAGCTAAATTGGTTCTGCACTGTCGCTTCTCTCTCAGCTGACGTACCTGCCTCCACCTTGGGGGGACTGCAAGGCCTCGGCGATGGACTCAGACTTCTTCAACACTTACAGCATCACAGCCTGCCGGATCGACTGCGAGACACGATACCTGGTGGAGAACTGCAACTGCAGGATGGTCCACATGCCTGGTAGGAACCACAGGGGCATGTCACTGCTCGACATACATGCTATCTACATTAGCTTATAAAGATGAAGATGTTAAAGTGTCTCTTTGTAGTGCTTTTATTTGAATTTGGCGTGGCAAAAACAATTCTTATGGAACAAAGAGCTTTTTGCCAGTGACTGCATTCATACTTTCACAATCCACTGGATTGGAAAACTCAAGTGTTTCCCTTCGAATTTGTGCAGTGATTACAGTTGGCATATGTAGTCTACCTCCTAAATGTAATCACAGGGTGGCATCTGAGCTGGCAAATTGAAAATGAGTTTGGCACAGAGGAAACATTGGCCTCTGTTAACCCGCACTCACCTGTCCAATAACTGTTAATGTGTCTCTATTCAATCACGGTCAGTGTTTGCATATCCAGGGAGACCCAGACAATCTGTCTGGGAAATAATCAGGATTAGCTGCTTCCCTAAAGTGATTGTGCAGTTGATTTATGTGAGTCTACAAACAACTCCCCAGCTAAATTCCTCCGCTCCTATCCATCTATGCTATCTTCCTGTCATTAGACTGATTTTTCACGACTTTAAAGCAAAATGCAGTGAATAATTGTAGCTGGGAAATAATTTCCTCTACATGTAGGACACAGCTTTTTCCTTTGTCGAGAGAGAGGGGTGGCTCAACTGCTACTGGGGAGAAAGATGGAGAGGGTGACAGAGACAAGGGTGACACGGACTGAAAGTAGTGACGAGAGGCGGAAAGTACAAAAGTTAATTAAATCAATTACGAGATGGGATCAGATTTGGGAAGAATATCCAGGCATGATAAGCTTGGTGATGACACACTGAGACAACATTAATTATCAGTTAACATCTTGTCACCCTTTGTGGTTCTTGGTTTGTAACCCTCTTCTCCTTTTGTTCACACTGAGAATATTATGTGTCCTTAGGAGATGCCCCGTACTGCACCCCGGAGCAGTACAAGGACTGTGCAGATCCTGCCTTGGGTAAGGAGATAACCCAGCATGCTGTGTGTGTGTGTGTGAGTGTGCATATTCGCTGTTCAATGTGTATAGCCAACTATTCAAAGCCCCTTATTCATGCTGATAACAGATAAAAGTGTTCCTTTAGCCTGAAGGTAGCTCGAATAGTAAACCTCAGGCCAGGCACTGAGCCGTGCCTTTTCACACTCCCCTGTCTCTTTATCAGCTGATACCTCTCAGGCCTTTCATGACTGTTGCTTGTTTTCAAATCTCTCACTCTTTCAATAAACCATCTTTTATATTTCTCATAAAGGCCTCTAGGGTGTCTCCTAGCGGCGTCATTTCAAAAGTTTTCTTTGACGCCTTTCACTCTGCTGGCTTTGTGTTTGTCATCCTGAGGTGATGATAAATCTGTCTGTCTCTGTGTCTTCTCTCTCTCCATTTATCTGTCCTCTATCTACCCCTGAATTCCTAAATAATCTATTTTTCAGACTTTCTTGTCGAAAGAGACAATGACTACTGTGTGTGCGAGACGCCGTGCAACATGACGCGCTTCGGTAAAGAGATGTCCTTTGTCAAGATACCCAGCAAAGCATCAGCAAAGTACCTCGCCAAGAAATTCAACAAGACAGAGCAGTACATATCGTAAGTCACATTCTTTTGTCTTATCCAATTATCCACAACTTTTACTGATATATTTTCTTTGAAAAGTTTAACTGATGAGCACAAGATATCTACTTCACTATTAAGGCCATTCTCAGGTTATGTGGGTGTTGGATGTGTCAGGTTTTCACATCACACTTCTTAAATTGGATACTGTGTTAATCAATCTGGACCCTTTTTCCCCATGTCTTTGTTTCAAAGTGCTTTATGGAGTCAACCGTGTTTTCTTTTATAGGTCCTGTATTGAGCGAGAGCACTGCAGCCACTAAACTGTTTTTGATGTAATGCTTCAGGCACCAATTGCACACCGTTATGGTACATCCACTAAAAAGGAAGTTACACTTTAAGTTGCACATGAGACCACATCATTCTGCACAGAAAGCTTAAGAGGGAGAGAGAAGGAGAGAACTGACGATAAGCAAAACACGCAAACACTGAGTGGAGGGGGGCTTTGGGCGTTGTATTTTCATTTTTTTCTGGGGAATAAATATTGAGAGCATATGATATTATCATGCTATGGCTTTACACATTATAATGTCCAAATGTATGAAATCAATTTAATTGAAAACAAAAACGTACAAAAAAGGTTACTGAAGTCTTATTTTCACATTTTTTTTAGAAGGAACATGTGATGTGGGAACAAAGTTAAAATCAACTTAAACAATTCATATTTGATTTTGCATATATTTCCTTTTTTGCAATATATACAAAACCATACTTAAATAAAATACATCGAATTAACATTATGATCTTGCTATAAGTCATATCCACAGGCTTATTTTCGGTTTTCATTTGTCAGGATTCACCATGTAATACAGAACTGTGGGTGTTTCTTCTATTACAGAAAACAGAAGTTGCATTAAAAAGGTTAGATGTGAGGGCTTCTTCATATTATGGGAAATGCTGCTGCACAGTACTGACACATCTGTAGCTTTTATTCTTATTTGTGATGAACTTGGAGTAGAACCTGATGTGTACCATTGTGTTGGTCAAACCACATCACATCTCAGACAGAGTGTTTTGAGGTTCATTTCCCTTATAGCAGCTTGCTTGAGGCGGCACAACAACTGCTGTAACCAGTTCACTTTCTCAAACCTGGATTGTTTTCCATTGAGTTGAGGAAAAAGAATAAGGATGATTCAGTCTTAGTTTGACTTGATTAAGCTGCCAAGTATGTACTGTTTCTTTGCCAAATGTAATGAAAAGATCAAAAGTAGTTCAAGGGAATGGGGAGAGGGAGAAATCATAGTTAAATCCTTTATCTATCATTCCCGGCGGAGCTGTTGAGGACAAGATAATTACACCATATGTAGTCGGAGTGCGGCAAAAACCTTTCACTTCTCCCTGCTGAAAGTTTTATTTAATCCCCTTCGGATAGATGTGAGTCCTTCCAGTTCATCTTTTGACTGGCAATGTTTCCAAGCAGTGTCAGGCTGATGAGCATTTGCTGGAAGTGTTCTGCTATCTGGGCTGCACAGTGTTTAGTGGTGTGAAACTGAAGTCTGTGACAGTGGACTGTCGTTCTACTGGGAACCACTAAAGCAGGGGGAGAGAGATATTGATATAGACGCAGACACACAGCTTTATTTATTAAATAATACTAATACTACTTGGACGGCAGCAGCAGTGTTATATTTATCCAATCATTCTACTTTGAGTGAAAGATAGAACATATACAGATATGGACTGAATTGAATGAGTGCTCCACTTCCACTGCATTGCACCGTCTTTCTCTCTTTTATTTTCATATATAGAGCCTATATTGCATATATATGCGAGGAAGCATCATTCAAACTGAAGACAGCTCACACAGGTGGGCCTACAAATCAGGAGAACACACACAGGAGTTTCAACAAAAAGCAATACAAAAACACAACTATATCAGTGATTCCCTATCCCAGGGTTTAACTACTTCTGCAGCTGCCATGGAGCAGGCCTTTCTGCAAAGATGTAGAAAAACTGATTAAACAAATTATTATAAAATAAAAACCTCAGTTTTTAAGATTTCCAAATATTGAATAAGATGTAATACCTGAACACTATGTGTTGCAAGCATGAAAACAGGAAGGTAAGTCTAAACAAGTAAGCTACAGTAAAGGTAAGGAATTAAATATATCATTGAAATAGTGAGATACGCAGAAGACCTATTTTGATTAAAGTAAAACATAAACAGTATATATAATCCACTAAAAGTATTGGTTTAAATACAATAGTTAGCTGAAAGTAAAACACAAATATGTTTATATGTATATAATGTTTGATTGGCAGCTGAAGTAATGGATAAACAGTTATAATGGGTAGCTAACATTGGATAAAGAACTGAAATTATACAATAAATTGTAAGTAATTGATTAACAAAAGAAACAGTTAACTAGCATTTGAAAAAATAAATAAACTTAGTGGATAAACTGTAAAATGTTGTTAAGTAATAAATAAACCGCTGCAATAAATATTTAAAAAAAATTGTGAGCATATGTTACAGTAAATGGAAAACAGTTTACTGTGTTTGAAGATATTAATACAAGTTGGTCGCTAAAAGTAATGGATTCAGATTAAACGTCCAAATTCTGCCACTCCAATTAGTACGGCCTAAAAGTATAAACTTGATCAAACCGAACTCATTGTTGCACACTATTCCCTTTTATATTATCAGTGTTTAATAAAGTCAATTTTACATTGTTTTATGCCAACACATTTAACACGTGTGCTATAGTTCTCAAAGATGGAAATGCAGCATTAATAAAGCCTGCATCCTATTTTGAGCTGGCATTCCACCTCTGTTATGATAATTCAACATACATTTGAGCTCATCGGAGGAAGCTATGGGTGTATGTCAAAAAAAGAATGGGAACGAGTGACCAAGATTACAACCCTAGGCGGGATATTAAGTGTATGATGATGGTTTTGTTTTATGTTGAGTATACTAAGGATGCTTTATGTGCTTTTAAAATCGTCTGTGCAGTCAAACTACAGGAGCTGAAAGTACATCTCCCAGCATGAAACAAGCAGATGTGTGCCCATCTACTATGAGAACATCTCCAGCTACATTACCAACTGTAATTTGCATTTCAACTTAGCCCTCGGCTTAGAGCTTCTTCAACTGACAGATCATCACGTGTCTTAACTTAAATTGAAGTAATAAAACAGTAAACGAAATCCTCAAAGTCAAGTTACGTTTTTGATTCAACCCCAGTTATGTGTGTAGTATGTCATTTAGCCCGCGGAGAGGATATTCAGGAATCAAAATAATAGTCTGCTTTGCCTTTGGCCGTAAACTAATTATTTCTCATTCTGCTGAAGTCCTGAATTTCAGATATTAACCCTCTGGAGTCTAAGGGTATTTTCTCGATTTTTAGATGTTTTCTTAAATCACCTTTTAAATGTATTTCTTCTAACATGGCACCCCATGTGTTAAATATCAAAATGTTCAGGACAATCTCTGGTATTGCTATATATGCAAATTACTCACCTTAGAGCACTGTTTGATGAGATAAGTAGCTCAAAAGCTTAAAATTTGACATCCGATTTTCGGAAAATCTTCAAAACTTTTGTGAAAACACAAATTTACTCATGTGATCGAATTGTTTTGGTGTTTTAGATTAGGTTACCAAAGTCTTAGGATCACAAAAGCAGTGAAATATTTGAATTACACTGTATATAAATGTGTTATTCATGTCTAAAATGAAAAAAATTTAATTCGAATTTTGAGTAAAATAGGTGTTTATCACTCTACTTTCACCACAGCAGGGATACATTAGGACATTAGGACTGAATAATGACTTCATATTACATACCAAGGTTCATGTGATGTGTACAAATACAAATTGAGCATTCAACCTTTTTTTTCAACCAACAATTTATTATAAATATGTTTTTTTCAACCAACTATTTATATAAATATAAGAAACTGGAAAATCTAACTATTTACAATATTGAACATCAGAACTTTCAACCAACTATTCATTATAAATGTCAAGACAGTGTCAAGGTCTGTGTCTGTCTTCCAAGACAGTGGGTCTGGCTGCTGTGAAGATTCTACTCCTTATAATCGAAAATATATGATTAATTACGTAAAATTAGAACTCTAGAGGGTTTAACACAGCATGCAATCAAACAGCTGTCATAATTTCCCTTGTTTTCCATAAAGCCCCTGTCACACTGTCTCGAAGTTGACACCCGATGGACACACGATAAAGGAAATGTTCAAATTCGGCTATGATCGTAGCAACATCGGGCCATTCGTGAGGGCATCTAAGCCATCGTATGACCGCCGGTGGAGTTTCTCAGGCTCCGGCAGCAACTTCGTGAGCGGCAACTTCGTAAGGCACTCGTGAGGGCATCTTGTCAAATCGTGTCATCTTCGTGTTATCATCGGTGCATTCACCCTCACTCTGATCGGGGCGAATGCCCGATGGCACCGATGATAACAAGATGCCCTCACGATGGCCTTACGAAGGGCAAAATTGACACACGAATTCAACACGAAAATGAACCTTCGCAAGGTCCTTCGGCAATTTGTTGGCATGCCAAAGATTTTGCCACCGCTCACGAAGTTGCTGCCGGAGCCTGAGAAACTCCACCGGCGGTCATACGATGGCTTAAGATGCCCTCACGAATGGCCCGATGTTGCTACGATCACAGCCGAATTTGAACATTTCCTTTATCGTGTGTCCATCGGGTTTTTTATTGCACAACAAAATCATGTAAATATATTATGTAAATAACCCAATTTGTGTTCTGTGAAACTAAAAAGGATATAATATATTATTTTGAAGGACAGTTGACAGGAAGTTGTTGTTGTTATGGAAACAACATTACGGAGAAAACGTAATATTTTCTACATATAACGACGGATAAAGTAAAGAACAAAGTCTGAAGATATCAGTACAGTATCATAGTACTGTAACATAATTGTTTTTGGTACTTTCATTGCAGTTGTATGTCTTAAATTACATTACATTGCATTTAGCTGACGCTTTTATCCAAAGCGACTTACAATAAGTACATTCGACCAGGAAGACACAACCTTGAAGAAAACAGAATCATATAAGTACATCAGGTTTCATAGAGCCAAACATTTCAAGTGCTACTCAACTGGCTTTAGGTAAGCCAGTCCTTTATTAGTATAAAAGTGCTTCGTTAATAGTTCTAACGCTCGAAGTGGAGTCGAAAGAGATGAGTTTTCAGTTTGCGCCGGAAGATGTGCAAGCTATCTGCCGTCCTGATGTCAATGGGGAGCTCATTCCACCATCTTGGAGCCAGGACAGCAAACCCACGTGTTTTCGCCGATGGGAACTTGGGTCCCCCTCGCAGCGAGGGCGCAACGAGTCGTTTGGCTGATGCAGAGCGTAGTGCACGCGCTGGGGTGTACGGTTTAACCATGTCCTGGATGTAGGAAGGGCCAGATCCATTCGCAGCATGGTAAGCAAGTACCATTGTCTTGAAGTGGATTCTAGCAGTTACCGGAAGCCAGTGAAGGGAGCGGAGGAGCGGAGTGGTGTGGGAGAATTTAGGAAGGTTGAAGACCAGACGAGCCGCTGCATTCTGGATGAGCTGCAGAGGTCGGATGGCACATGCAGGTAGACCAGCCAGGAGGGAGTTGCAGTAGTCTAGGCGTGAGATGACGAGAGCCTGGACCAGAACCTGAGTCGCTTTCTGAGTCAGCTGGGGACGTATCTTCCTGATGTTGTAAAGCGTGTATCTGCAGCAACGGGTTGTAGCAGCGATGTTTGCAGTGAAGGACAGGTTGTTATCTAGGGTCACACCCAGATTCCTTGCAGTCTGAGTCGGGGAAACAACTGAGGTGCCGATGTTGATTGTTAGGTCAAGAGTGGGACAATCTTTTCCCGGGAGGAAGAGCAGCTCAGTCTTGTCAAGGTTGAGCTTGAGGTGGTGAGCAGACATCCACTGATAGATGTCAGCTAGACAAGCAGAGATGCGTGCAACGACCTGGGTCTCTGAGCGGGGAAAGGACAGAATTAATTGGGTGTCGTCAGCGTAGCAGTGGTAAGAAAAACCATGTGGGCTAATGACTGATCCGAGCGAGTTTGTGTACAGGGAGAAGAGGAGGGGACCAAGAACAGAGCCCTGAGGGAGCCCCGTAGTTAATTGACAAGGGTCGGACTCAGACCCTCTCCAAGTCACCCTGTAGGTACGGTCTTTCAGGTATGAGGTGAGGAGGGAAAGTGCAGAGCCTGAAACTCCAAGTTTTTGGAGAGTGCGAAGGAGGATCTGATGATTCACCGTGTTGAATGCAGCAGACAGGTCCAACAGGATGATGACAGAGGAGAGGGATGCAGTTTTTGCAGTGTGCAGTTCCTCCGTGACAGCAATGAGAGCAGTTTCTGTGGAGTGACCTGCCTTGAAACCAGACTGGTGCGGATCCAGAAGGTTGTTCTGATGGAGATAACAGGAGAGTTGTTTAAAGACAGCTCGTTCAAGTGATTTAGACAGGAACGGGAGGAGAGAGACAGGCCTGTAGTTTATAACATCAGACGGGTTGAGAGTGGGTTTCTTTAGGAGAGGGTTTACTCTTGCCTCCTTGAGACTGTTTGGAAAGTGACCAGAAGTTAGAGAAGTGTTGATGAAATGGGTGAGAAACGGTAGAATATCAGGAGCGATAGTCTGAAGGAGGTTTGAAGGGATAGGGTCCAGAGGACAGGTGGTAGGGCGGGCAGAGGTAATGAGGGTAAGAACCTCACTTGGAGAGAGAGGGGAAAAGGAGGTAAGTGTGTTGGTGGAAGGAGGGTCTGGTGACCCAGCGGTGAGTAAAGGTGAGTCAGAAAAAGAAGAGCGAATATCATCAACCTTTTTTTCAAAGTGAGTAACAAAGTCGCTTGACAGAAGTGAGGAGGGGGGAGGAGCTTTTGGAGGGTCCAAGAGGGTGGAGAAGATGGAAAATAGTTTTTTAGGATTGGAATAGGAAGATTGGATCTTATCTTGAAAGAAAGTGCTTTTTGCCTGAGAGATCGAAGCAGAGAAAGAGGAGAGGAGAGCCTGATAGGTTAGGAGGTCGTCACGGTGTTTGGATTTCCACCATTTCCGCTCTGCTGCCCTAAGGACGGTTCTATTAGCACGCAGTGCATCATTTAGCCAGGGAGCAGGAGGGGACTGACGAGCCTGCCGAGATGTGAGAGGACAGAGCGAGTCCAGAGTGGATGAGAGAGTAGAGAGGAGAGTTTCTGCAGCAGAGTTTGGAGGCAGGAGATGGAACGAATCAGAGGAAGGGAGGGCTGAGAGCACCGACGAGGCAAAGCTAGAGGGGGAGAGGGAGCGAAGGTTACGGCGGACAAGTGCAGGATGAGAAGAGATTAGTTTGTTATGTTTGGAAAGGGATAGAGAGAATGAAATGAAGAAGTGATCGGATGTGTGGAGCGGGTTTACAGAGAGGTTAGAAGTAGCGCAGTTCCTTGAGAATATGAGATCAAGGACATTGCCAGCTTTATGAGTTGGTGGGGATGGAGACAGTGAGAAAGCAAAGGCGGTTAACAGAGATGTTAGTTCGTCTATCTTCCCCGTCTGGAGGTTGAAGTCTCCGAGAAGTACAGCGGGAGGGCCAGTTTCAGGGATGAGTGAGAGGAGATTATCTAATTCCTCCAAGAAGTCCCCCAAGGCGCCTGGTGGACGGTAGAGAACAACAATGGTTAACTGTATAGGATGGGTTACTGTGACGGCATGGAATTCAAAGGTGGAAGGAGTGAAGTTAGGTAGCTTGAAGAGGGAAAAGCTCCATTTGGGAGAGAGCAGGAGACCAGTGCCACCTCCTCTGCCAGTTGGTCTGGGTGTATGGGAGAAGGAATATGCAGTGGAGAGAGCTGCTGGGGTGGATGTGTTGGATGGAGTAATCCAGGTCTCAGTGAGAGCAAGGAAATCCAGAGACTGCAGGGAGGCGTAGCCAGAGATGAAGTCAGCCTTAGGAACAGCTGACTGGCAATTCCACAGGCCACCAGAAACTAGATGTTGGATCTCAGTGGAGCACGTGGGATAGACGAGAGCAGGCCGGTTATATCGATTAGGAGATACACGGGGCCAGTGATAATTGCGAGAAGACACATGAACAGGAATAGAGAAAATACACATGATTATAGCATGAGGGGCTAGAAAACTAAAGAAAAGATAAATAAGACACCAGCTCAATCAGAGTAGGATTTGCCTCCCTCGTGACTCCCGCAGGACTCCAATGTCTTTGTCAGTCTTACTCCCGCAGGACTCCAATGTCTTTGTCAGTCTTACTCCCGCAGGACTCCAATGTCTTTGTCAGTCTTCGGCTGTCTGACGCTGAAACTGACGCTCCAGGAAAGAGCTACCCGAAATGGATGCCTGATTGCTCAGTTCTCACAGCTGTAGGGCCACGGCCCTCTAATTAGTTAACTATCTACAGCTGATGGGCGACAATAGACTGGCCGTGCCTATATTAATGCAGGCTTGAGTGCTGAGACCTGTAAAGCAGGTTTCGCCTGAGCAGATCTGAGATTTAAAATCTCTCAAACGCGATTTAGCCGTTTACGCTACAATAACAATTTATACAGAGTCGAATAAATGAAACAGAGAAGTCTAATTAAACAAGAATATAACTTACAGTGGTTGCTGCGTCAATAGGTAATGTCGTCACCGGGTCCAGATGCACACAGTGCAAATGTAATGTAAATGTTGCCTTTGTGTGTGGTTCGGGGCCATCTTCGTGCGAAATTCACAATTCCATATTCGTGTGTCCATCGGGTGTCAATTTCGGGACAGTGTGACAGGGGCTTTATGACCAGACCCACCGTGGGGAAATTAGCTTGTGACTGCAGGTTGTTGGCGCGGGAGGATTATGAGACAATAGGCCCGCTGGGAACAGACTTGCAAAAGACCCCCCTACCTCAGCTACATGGAGCCCGACACCCAGGGGTGTCTTTTTGTTGTAGTTTTGTGTTCTCTTTGCTGCTGTTTTGTGTCCCATTTTAAGTTGGGTTTTTGTAATGATGTTTTGTCTGTGGTTGTTTAGCCCTTGTTGTAATCTGTTTGCGTCTCTTTGCATTTCATATTTATCCTATTGTGGTTACTTTTGTCTTTTTGTATTTGTTTTGCATCTCTTTGAAGTCGTTTTTGCATCTCTTCGTAGTTGTTTTGCATCTCTCTGTAGTCGTTTTGTGTCTCTTTCTGGTCGTTTTGTGCTTCTTTAGGGCTGTTTGTGTCTTTGTAATAGTGTTGCAACTCTGTGTAGTTTTAAGTCTCTGTAGTTGCTGTTTTGTCACTTTGTGATTGTTTAGAACCCTTTCGTAGTTATTGTGCATCTTTTTTTAAGCGCTTTATGTTTCTTTGTGGTCATTTTCTATCCATTGCTGCTTGTTTTTTGTCACTTTGAGAGACATTTTGTAAGTAAACGCCATGGAAACAAAGTTGTGGCCCTAAGCCTGTGCCCTGTCAGCCCGTTCAATAATCCATATATGGTTATTTACTCAACCCAATGCATCTGCTCAGTTATCTGCAGGAAGTGTCAGACTCACCAGTCATGTTCTCCGCCTGCGGACACTCTGATAAAACATGGTGTATGAAACATACACTGAGACATTTAAATGTGTGAACTAAGACTGAGCCTTTCTCTCTGTTTACAGTGATAACCTTCTGGTCCTGGATATCTATTTTGAAGCGCTGAACTACGAAACCATCGAACAAAAGAAAGCCTACGAATTGGCAGGCCTTCTGGGTAAGGAAATGGCTGTCTAGTGTTTACATGGGAGGAGATAATAAACAGTATTCATATACACCTCAGATGATTTTGATGGAAAGTGACAGTAAGGCAACCGCTTGTTATTGTAAAATAGGTGTTCAGGTCCCAGATGACACAGCGCTGTCTCTTTAATCTAGTGTGTCTATTGTGTGATTTCAACATTTTCTTCTTTCCAACATCTGTTTTCTGACACATTTCAGACCTAAACAAATATTAAAAGCACATTTAAAATATGCTTCATGTGAATAAACAGAGATGATGATCCTCCTTAAAATGTCCTATTTCTCTCTCCAGGTGATATCGGAGGTCAGATGGGTCTCTTCATCGGAGCCAGCCTCCTCACTATTCTGGAACTCTTTGACTATCTATATGAGGTAAAATATCTCTTTAAAACACCTCCCGCCATCATCGGAGCCTCTCACCCTCATCCGGTGGTGCAATGTATTGTTTATGGAAATGTGTTCCAGTATTAATGGTATTACTTGCATACAAAATTGAGTTTTGCACACTATTTCACCAAGGACGTGTTTTAACGAGCGTGACGAACACTGTGTCCCTCACAACCCTGCAGCCCATCTCTGTGCAACACACACACACACATTTTAGCAGCAGCAACTCTGAATACATTAACATTTTGGATGTATTATATTTTAGATTAGTTGGGATGTCTCTATCCGTTCTCATTAGAGCAACTCTGTGTTGCTTCCTCCATTACTAGCAATGCAGAAAGATATTTGTGTCCGTCTCCTTTTTAGTTTGTGTGTGTTTGCGTGAGAGAAAAAAGCAGCACCTGCATGTCCAGTTTGGAGGGCGAAACATATTTATAGATGGATAAAATCAATCTCTCTTGAATTTCATTTTGCATGATCCTTCAAACTCCAAAGTGTGTGGGCTTGAACTATAAAAAAAATATTTTTGAACGGGTCAGTAACGGGTGTCCTCTGCTATTTTCAGGTGATCAAATACAAGCTGTGCCGATGCGTGAAGAAGAAACACAAAGGCCGCAACAACAACGACCGGGGAGCTGTGCTGAGCCTGGATGATGTGAAACACAATGTCAGTAGACTGCTGCTAAGTACTTCCACTGTATCAGACTCAATGTCATTTGACAGGGACACACTTGGAGTGAAGGAGGATGATAGGGCAGCCGTGATGGTGGTGGGGAGGAGTCAAGAGAAAGAGATGGAAGAAACCAGGGACTGGGGAGACAGGGAAGGGAGTGAAAGTGTGATTGGGAGAAGAGGGGGAGACAATTGATAGTGGAAAGTGGTGTGCATTTAATCAAAGCTGCTGGACATGACCAGCAGGGACAGGCCAGGATTAGAGCATTGGAAGGTGTGACAGCTCACTTATTGCCAAGTATAAATGAAGTTCACTTTAATTGTAGGTCTGAGATCAGGCAGAGGAAAAAAGGGAAAGATGTGCTCATCTTCTGATCCTCTCCCCTGCCTTACATCTTCATCATTTTTTCTTTAAAGCATTTCTTAGGGGTCTATTCCCTCTCAGCCCCATCTTGTTTCTAATGTCACATTTATCTGAGGGTGTAGTACTTTCTCATATGTGTTTTATCTTCTGTTTTACTCTTGATGTAAGGACTCCCCCTCCCCTCTTGTTTCAATACGTCCCTGCTGATCATTTCTCTTCAGTGTCTTAATCCTCGTTTATCTTACAATCTAATTTTTGCTTTCGCTCTCTGCTAATGTTTCTCCCAGGCTCCTTGCGAGAACCTGCGTACACCATCAACATATCCTGGCAACATGCTACCCCATCACCCGGGCCAAGCTAACTTTGAAGACTTCACTTGCTGAGCAGACCCCGGGGGGAAGCATCCAAGTGCGTGTTATGCAACCAAAGCCAACCATACAAGAAGAACTATCCAGCACGGGGGGAGTGTGAGGAACTGATACAAAGTCTAACAGAGGCACTTTTTACATAGATACGGAGTTAAGCGGACAAATCAAACACGACAAAGAACTGTCACCCAAGGCCGAGCGGAGAGGATATCCCAAAAAGAAAAAATATCTGTCAATTTTCCGGAGAACATTTCATGCAGCACTCTTCTATCTCTTGTGTATCTCTGGAATACTGCCGCAGAGGATGTGGAGGAACCTTGCCAACACGGACCTCTCTATCTCTTTCAAAAGACAACTAAATTAAATGTAAAAATAAACATGTACAGCTATCTCACCATAGACAGCAGATCATAAAAAAGAGCCCCCATGCCTTTATATAACACACGATGGTTTCACACGACACCGGCCTGCTAGTGAGACTCATCCTGCTTACTCCACTTTACATGTAGCAACATAATGTACCTGTTGCAGCGCTCCGTAAAACATCAGCTGGACTCTGTGTAGTTGAGAATGTATTTATGTTCACGATGGGTGTAGTTGGGTGTACAGGGAAGTTTTTCAGGGGGCTTGTGTTAGACATAGAGGTGCATTATCAACCATTTAAAATGTACTGGCGATGATTTCAGGTCTCATCATGTAAATGCATGCTTGTATTTGTCCAATGCATGTTTTTCATTTCATCTATAATTTTTCTTTTTTTTTACATATATATATATAAATGATATAAGTACCAAGTTTGCCTCAATGATATACAGGAAAACGAAGATGATACATCCCATATATATATGTGTGTGTGTGTGTGTGTGTGTGTGTGTGTGTGTGTGTGTGTGTGTGTGTGTGTGTGTGTGTGTGTGTGTGTGTGTGTGTGTGTGTGTGTGTGTGTGTGTGTGTGTGTGTGTGTGTGTGTGTGTGTGTGTGTGTGTGTGTGTGGTGGGTGGGTGGGTGGGTGTGGGTGGGTGGGTGGGTGTGTGTAGTGATGTACTCATAGAATGTAGAATATAAAATATAAATACACAACTCAGCAGCGCAAGCTTCACTTTATTTGCTGCAAAGCTGGTGAAATGTTGCTAATTCTCCACAGAGCGTTAAAGAAAAAGGCACATGTGCAAGAATTGGGAGGCAGAATGCAGCTGCAAGGACAGTGTGTGTGTGTGTGTGTGTGTGTGTGTGTGTGTGTGTGTGTGTGTGTGTGTGTGTGTGTGTGTGTGTGTGTGTGTGTGTGTGTGTGTGTGTGTGTGTGTGTGTGCCCAGTCAGCCTGTGTCTGTTGACTGAAAGAATGGGCTGCACCTAATTTAATTTCTCATCTGTTATTTCATTTTCACGCGTGCCCTTTGAGTCGAGGAGTTTTCATTCAGCTTCATTAAGTCTTATCTCGACTGCAGGATGAGGTGAGGGGAATTATTTTTCGAGGAGTTGATCAATGAAATCCAAGTAATGTTGGGCTGTTAAAAAAGTTTCTGTATCTGTGTTCTTGTTGCAAGAGTCTTATCAAAGCACAATACCGCCAGTATGTTGAGGTGATGTAAAAGGCAACGTACTATTCTTCTTGATATATTGTCATATTATTAATATCGTGTTGATCCGACTGTTTTTCGGTTGTTGTTTTTTCTTTCATATAAAACATAATCGATATTGCCTGATAATCCTGTCTCCATCGTCCAGGTAATAGGCTGGTCTATTTAGTTATCAAAGCATAAATAAAATATAAATATCATTTTGGAAATTGTTATTCTTCTGAGGTTTTATTCTTATCAGTGAATTCAGTCTTTAAAACCTCTATTTGTTCGTTTGGTCGAGGTGAACGGGGGGGAAAGCGATGTATTTGTCAAATCCAGATACTGTGCAAATGTTCATTTTGAATCACAAGTAGCTCTCAGAAAATCTGATTAAGCTTTCTGGGCTTAGGGATTTTTCTCAATGTTCTCTTATCAACATATTATCTTGTGTTTTGCATCACACAACACTTTTTTTAATTAAGTCAGCATTAAGGGTTTAGGGGCAGGAGTCTGGCATTAAAACATGTATTACTTATCCACTGAAATTGAATTCATTTGTTGCAGTTAAACCGCTGCAAGCAACATTGGTGTTTCTGAGCTTCATATGCTTGAAATGTAATTACAGTTTCTGCTGCTCAGTGACAAAAGAATGGATGAGAAATATCCTGCACAGCCAAAACAAGTTTAATCAAGATTGTCAGTGAGCCAGTGGCCGCACATTCTGGACGGCTCCTGGTCCTATACTGTACTGTACATCTGCTGCTGCCAGCTGCCACACTTGTATTAAAAGCAGCTTGGTGATGCATGACAGTGTGAATATTAGAGTCCAGTTAAACATGTTCTGCCTTGAAATCATGTTTGTTGCTCGGATGGCTGCACAGTCCGCTGCTACCAGACACTAAGGGTTATTCTAGGACAGGAAGTTTACTTTTGCCTCATGATTCTTTCATGCTATCTTTTAGCAGGGAAACCGAACATCAACATTGTTCACCCAATGTGAGTGTGCATTCATTTTTTATTATTCAGAGGAGAAACCTCAGCTGGTATTCACACATTCATATCAAGTGCGAAAGCTCCCGGGAACCAGCTCCAACATCTGATGAAGATGTTTCCTGTTTTGAATGTCTGAAACAGGATGTTGCCCCCTGACGGTTTTATTATATTCTGTTGTACCTGCCAAGAAGACAAATTAATCAAGAAATAAAAGATGATGCTGTTCATTTCCTGTGTGCACTTGTTTGATTGTGTGAGTGACACTCTTTCGACCCAGAAGATTGCAGGGTGTCAGAAAACAGGACAGCTGCCTGCCAGTGACAGAAATCCTGCAGAAGATGCTTTCTGCCTCTTGATGAGCCTCAGGCGTAAAGCAGAGCAGGTGGGGGTGTGAGGGAGATGCACCGGAGGGACTTCAGACAAAATAAAAATATTTCCAAAATGTACGGCTTTGGGAGTATTTCCTGCAGTTGTGTAGTCTTGATTCAGTTTCACCTGTTGTTAGCCAATTCCTAAATCTTGGCATCCGCCTCCTGAAAGATGTCCACCTACAGTATTATGCACCTCATTCAGCTCCTCAATATAAAGATCAGTGATGTCTGCTCCCTCCCTGCTTTCACCTTGTTGCTTGACACTCAGCCAATCTGATGACAGTATAAGAAAAAGATGCTCCTGTACTGGAAACTCCCAAACTGCAGGCCCTTCCTAAATGGCTTTAACACCCTCGGGCCTTTGGATGTGATGAAGCCTTCTAATGCTTGTTGATATATTTTAATGAGACTTGTCGTGTGCATATTTTTATCCACATCTGCCAGTTTAATCATGCATTCTGCTGTCACTGAACATGCACTCCCACTCTAAATATGTTTCATATCAGAGGCAATTTCCATCTAATCCTACTGTATTATCACATCTTATTATCTACATCGACAAGGAGATTAGGCTCTTGTTCTACACTTTCTTAATGTGGTGAACAACGTTTTGTCATTTCCAGTACTTTAGCTTAACACACAAGCACACACTCAGACAAGTTAAATAACAATGACTGAACACTGGTCTAGTTTTGTGCCAACATAGTGATGCACCAATGCAGTGCTGGGTTGTTTTGACCCAGCACTGCATTGGCTCAAGTGGACATTTCTGAATATCCTTGAAACACTTCCCAACAATAATCTAGAGAAAATAACCAAAACATTGAGTCAAAAAAAACCATTAGCTTGGGGGATTTTCTATCCAATGTTGACTGAAAACATTATTTTACCTTGCGTCAGACTACTTGCTGGATCTGTACTGTACATAAATGAATTTACGCCCCAGCTTGCTGCCAGCATGTCGGATGAGTCACGTTTCTGGTATAAATGTATCCTGTCAGATCTCTCCGTGCAATTAGGATGCTGAGCCGTTAGTCGGAGATAAGGCACGGCTCCTCTGGGCTCCACTTTACATTCTTCTCATCAAGAGGATTGCTAATTACAGAGCAGTCAAGTTTCTCAGCACTGATGGACACTGTATTATATTTCAGATTTGAGTCCGCCTGATTTGTCCTTTCATTTGTTTAAAGTATGAAACCTTATTATTAAATATCCTGACTGTCAGCACGCTTGCAGAGGATACACATAATCACCTGCCATCTTACAGACACAGGATTTGAAATCCCCTCTGGTATTTGAAGAACAATGGAGCAAATCTGACACTTTAATGTCCCATGAATGAGGATTTCGATGCACCTTGCTGCAAGAAAAAAGTCATAATGCACACCCCCTCCTCCCTTGTATGCACTCATACAAGCACCCTCTGATCAAACACAAGCAGGCTATGCAAACAGATGGTAGGCCGTGTTTTGCACTGTTGTAGCTTCATGCTAAGTGGGGGGAAGTGTAATGACATCAAAGTTTGAAACAAGAAAGTGTTTCAGTCAGTGGCTGACTGGATGCCAGCCACAGCAGAACTCTCAACTTGTTGTTTACCAGTTAATTTAGAAGTCACTTCAAAGGTTCAACATCCTCTTTCCAGATTAAACAAAGGGCTGTGATGTTATGCACGCAAAGAAGGTCAACTGACACTGGTGCAGTATGGAGGTGCTAGGGGTTGTGATTTTGATCAGCTTTTCATGAAGGGAGCTGTTTTACTAATTTATGAACCCCTGCTGAGATGAAAGAAAAGACAATGGCTGGGATTTTTCCCTCAGCCTGATAATTAAAATTGCAGTGGGAGCAAATTACTTTCAACACATTTAAGTTAACAAAATACAGGCTCCAAATGTGTTTCTCCGGTCATGAAAGAGAGTCACTTTATTATTTGATTGGTTATGTGTTTTTTTTAATATGCTCATATTGTGTGTCCTTTTGTTTTAAAGATTGACAGGTTGAATTTAAATATGTATTTCAGATATGAGATAAAGTTTCTGTGTTACATTACATTACATTACATTGCATTTAGCTGACGCTTTTATCCAAAGCGACTTACAATAAGTACATTCGACCAGGAAGACACAACCTTGAAGAAAACAGAATCATATAAGTACATCAGGTTTCATAGAGCCAAACATTTCAAGTGCTACTCAACTGGCTTTAGGTAAGCCAGTCCTTTATTAGTATAAAAAGTGTTCTATGTGAGCTCGAAATGCTGTTTTGTTTGAGTTTATGTGTAATAAATGCAGTGGAGTAAAAGATAGGTATGTAAAAATTATACAAAAGAACGGTACTTCTGACATCAACACGGTACCCCGGGCAACCAATAGGGGTCACTTGGTTACCACCACCCAAAACCCCGTTCTCGCACTCGCGATAGTTCCGTGCCTCTACCGGCGGCGACATTCAGAGAGGAGATGGCGGCCAGAGGGGGATTTCAGTCGGCACCGACGGGCGG